CTCGACGACTCAGACGTGGAATATATTTTCTCTTTTGATGATGAACCAACTGATGATACAGTCTTTGTAACGGGAATTGAGCAAGATGATGAGTTCTCAGAAGAATCTGAAATTGAAGAAAAAGAAGAAGATGCTAACGACCAAATTCATGTTTTTTGATCTCTAAACCCTAGACTCCTGCAAAGTTGAAGGGTCAAAAGAAGCAGATTTGGCGTACCTGTCCCAACCAGTGATGTGGTGTGTGTTGTGGGTGTCAAGTTTTACCCTAAATGAAATCAATAGCCGCAAGTGCACAGCTGATCGATTGTAGTACTTAGGGATCGAATCCACAGGGAAAGAGGATCTTTTCCTGCAAAAAGCCTTTGAAATAAGTATAAAGTAAGGAAGTCTAGAACCAAACGGTTTTGTGGGGGTTTGGTAGTGTGTTTAAAATGTAAAAAACGAAATCTTAAAAGAAAGTACGGGAATTAAATAACCTAATAACTAAACTTAACGAAAATGAATAAAAATGAGTAAAACGGATAATTCTAATTGCTTAAATGAAAATCTACTAAAAAGGAAAGACAATATTGAACTAAAGCTTGAAATAAAAACGGTGTAAATCAATGGAAAGAAGGCGTTGGGCTTCAGGGAAGTTTTCTCAGGGGTACGAACGATTCAAAACATTGCTAGAGAGTAAAATTGATAAGATCTTAGCTTAAACTTTTCGAACTGGAGTCACGGACGTATGAATACGCCACTGTCGTGATCATAGACAACTATCTCTCTCAACCCTGACCAGTAGGTTTCCACTCTGGCCCTGGAAGAGAAGAGATGCATTATGTTTAAGACTCGTCCTAATCCACAAATCGCCCATAGGTAGGTTTCCACTCCTATGTTTGTTTTGCTCTCCCAAACTAGATCTGATACCTGATGAACACTTTCGTGTCACCAAGCATCTGGATCAGATTGTAGTTCATGACGCTACTCTCATGCAGTAAAAACGAATTCAGAAGAAAAAGTTCTAAGATTCGGCTCAAAAGCTCATGGAATCCTCATCGAACATATAAATCCCCATTGAAAATCCCTTAATCCCAACAATAAAACTACTCAGACATGATGAACGAAATCAAAGACATAGTATTAATAAGTAGAATAGAAACCGAAATTGAAAAAGAAAGAACAAGGGTTCAAGAGAACAAATCTCTCTCTCCCTAAAAGCTAAAGCAAAAACAATAAAAATATGAAGTAATGATAGATGGTATTCGGTTCTACGATTTAGGGTTCCTAAGACATGTATTTATAGTGCTCAAGACCTCTCTGGACGTCACTTAGGGTTTCTCCAAATGTGGGCTTCAGAAATGGGCTTTTTGGGCTCGGAGGTTGATGGCCGCTGTCGGGACAAGTGTGACCGCGGGGAATGAGTGGTTTGCCGCGGTCGGGATGCTCCTGACCGTGGGAAATTGCTTGTTGGCCGCGGGTGGAAGTGTTTGCCGGCTGGTTTACGGGACATCTTGCTCTTCGCGTATTTTTTGATTGAACCGTTGGATTGCCAAGCTGTAAAGTGCACTGGAAAGCTGATACTTCCATCTTTAAGGTCTCCAAATATGAGCTGGATCAGACGGTGAGAAGGCCTTCAATCATGGGTGAACTTCTGACGGTTTAACTCTGAGCTGAAATCTGGTTTTCTATCCATTTTGTTAAGCTTTTCCCTAAGTTACCTGAAAAGAGTCTTGAAACTACAAATACTAGAAAAACATAATAAAAGTACATAAAAGAAATTAAAAACATAGAAAAAGTATTTCAAAACGATCCATAAAAGTGGTCAAAATACGGTGTTATCAACCAGCTCCAAATGCCAAGATCTACATCTTTCCTACCAAATACGATAAGCCTATACCAGTTATAGCTTTCTTTGATACTTGATCTGCGTCTTCAATCATCAAGCCAGATATACTCCCATCAACCCATTGGGAACGGTTTTTAGTGTCCTTCAAAGCAGCCAATCGGCAGATATTCCATATCTCCCTCATCAGTAAGCCCATTCATATCCAATTATTCCCAGGATATATGGTTAAATTTAAAGTATATGGGTCTGATCTTCTAGGAAAAGGCTTCATACTTGGATTTGATATCTTCCATAGCCTTAAAAGAGTATCTTGGCACCCAAAAAGCCTTAAACACAAAAACCACCTGTTACCATGGACAACCATTTCTCATTTATACTCTATGGAAATCCTGAACCCCATCAAAGAAGAAATTGCCAAAACCTCTTTGTGCCACTTCTCACTCAGAATTCCTCACCAAATATTTCTCACCCCTTTGACAAAATCCAGACTTCTTCATATCTTTACCATTCAAGAAAAATGAAGATATTTATTCCACAAAGGCTAGTCATCCAGGGATGAACCCAGATCATTATACTCTAGCGTTCGAAGAAGTAAACCTACTCCAAAAAGGTCTCATCGAAAAAACAACTTCACCATGGGCATGCGGGGCTTTCTATGTCAACAAAAGGGCATAACAAGTTCGAGGAAAATTGAGGTTATTCATTAACTACCAGCCACTCAATCACTTCCTTGCTGATGGCAAGTTTCCACTACCAAAACGGGAGGTCTTATTCCAACGGCTCCCACAAGCACAAGTGTTCTCAAAGTTTGACTTAAAAGCGGGATTTTGGCAATTGGGAATCAAGCCAGATGATAGACCCAAAACAGGTTTCTGCATACCAGACTGTTATTTCCAATGGAAGGTTATATCATTTGGATTAAAGGTGGCCCCATCGCTATTTCAAAAGGCAATGACCAAAATATTCGAGCCAATACTTCCAAATGTGCTGGTATACATCGATGATATCCTTTTGTTCTCTCCGGATATCGACTCCCATACCCGGCTACTGGAGAAATTTCACAAGATTGTACAACAGTATGGCATCATGCTCTCCGAAAAAGATGGCTATTGGAGAAATAGAGATAGATTTTCTTGGCATGCATATCTCAAAAGGACAATACCATCTACAGCCTCATATTGAAACACAGCTCAAAGAATATCCAGATGACAAACTCTCTTTCAAACAAGTCCAACAATTCCTTGGAGTTGTCAACTACATGGTGGAGTTCATTCATGGCTTAGAAAAGTACAGGTCAATCCTCTCAACACAGCTAAAGAAAGATGCTCTTCCATGGGACAAAAAATGTACAGAAGCAGTAAAAGAGCTTAAATGGATCTCAAAGACCTTTCCCTCATTGAAGATCTCATCTAAAGGGAAAAGAATCTTACAAACCGATGCAAGAAACTGCTACTGGGGTGATGTTATCTTAGAAGAAGACGAAAAAAGAAAGAGAAGCATTTGCGGATACAAAAGTGGCGTTTTCAAAGACAGTGAAAAACACTACCATTCTACCTACAAAGAGATACTTGCAGTCAAGAGAGACATAGAGAAGTTCGAGCTCCACCTAGTCGGACAATACTTCCTCATTGAAATGGACATGTCCTCATTTCCGAAGATGATTTTGTTCAAGCAAAAGATCTTGCCACACACACAATTACTTAGATGGGCAAGTTGGTTTTCACTGTGGAAGTTTGACGTGAAGCACATCAAAGGAAAAGACAATTTCCTCCCAGACTTCCTATCCAAAACACAGAGGTAAATTTCAATTGTCATACTAATGATATACACTTTCACTCCAACAGAAGAGTCCTTAAGGAACATGATTGCAAATATGCTACAAGGAATACAAGAAAAGATTCTAGAGACTGCTCTAGTCTGTCAAGGAGTTGACAAGCTTCATGGATTCTTGAAGCTTTATGTCTTCAGGTATGGTCTAGACCAAGGCCCACTCCTCCAGTTACCTTATCACCTTGTATTTCTCTTCCTCACTACCATAGACTTAAACCCAGCTCACTATGGTAAATTTTTGGAGGAGACATATTTCCTGTTGTGATACCTAGTAGAATTGTACACCATTAGAGTACTTATTGACAAAAGCCGATTAATTCAGTATCTGGAAAAGTGCATTCTGACAAGAAGGAACACTACAAGTTGTTGTATAAGTGGCTCACCTTGTTTCATGAAGTCACATGGTGGCAAAAGAATATTCGAGCACAAGAAGGATACAAAGTCTTAGTCACATTCAATATCATCACAAAGCAAGAGCAACAAGAAAACAATGTCATCATTCAGAAAGAGTACAAAGCCCAGGTCCGGATAAGCTACAATGATGATGCTTTTGATGGAGACAATTTTCACAAAAGAACAAGAAACTTGGCAGAGATAAATCACATTTCTGACAGTGAAGAAGACGAAGACTCAGACTTTGGATAAGAGAGAATCTACCTCTCTTTTGGAGACAAGAGGAATAAATAATTATGCACATGTTGAATAAGTTAAGAATAAATAATTATGCATGAGAGTAAGTTAGGTATCCATGTGTGTAATAGCTCTAAGTTAGGTATCCACGTGTGTAATAGCTCTAAGTTAGATATCCATGTGTAATTCCATCACTATAAATAAGAGGTTTGGGTGCTTGCATAAACCAAGCTAAATCCTGTAATCGAGTCTAAGAGAAAGCTTGAGAATCTTTGTAATCTGTGAGTATTCGATATAAATAAAATATTTCTCTTTGTATAGTTATCTCTTCCACTCTTTAAATAATTTTTTATATTTTTGATCCTTCAAAACCTTGTTCGTGATTGTATCTATTATGTGTTTGTAAATTTGGAATTTGATACCATCTTTTGGAATCCAATAATGTGATGTCATCTTCTTATAATTAGATCTGATATTTTGATTAGGTCAATTTTTTTATTTGTCTTTTTTATTTGCCATTGTTCTTAATAAGCCTGGAATTTGTAATTTTGTCTGTTTTTATCTAAACCATAATTTGTTAAAATCTCTAAACACATTTGCTTCTCTACTTTTTAATTTTTTTTTTCATATTTTTAAATTTTTGTTTTCATTTGCAATTGATGCAAAGTACTCCGATTTGAATGAAACTCGAGTTAAAAAACAATATAAATACTTTTTTATTCCAAAGAATCGATCTTATTACTTCTATTTCAAATAAATAAGACACTAAACACTCTTTAAACCCATAACATTTTCATACAAGACTCGATACCTTTACACTTCTTGTGACGCCGTCGACGAGTCGTCCATATAAAGAATAGATTGTATGTTTTAGCTTCTTCATTCCTTGAAAGAATTCAACCAATTCTGAAACCATAAAATAGTTCGAAATTTACACAATATTTTGAGTATAATTGATTATTTAGATAGTAGTTTCTTTACCAAGAATAAGACGTAACCGAAGGTAGCTCATCCACATTACAGATCCAGAGATCATCGAATTCTCGACAAAATCTGAAACAAGCAAAAGCAAAAACTAAGTTTTAACTTCAAAATTGTCAAATTGAAAGACTCAACACAGCTTGCCTTTTGTAAACAGAATAACTTCAAATTAGCAATAATCCACAATTCGAGTTACCTGGTTCATAAGTCGGGTTGTAACCAAGCCCATATACTGCATATTTGGCATAAGCGAGTAGTCTCACACGTTTTGGTGAATCTAACTTCAAAGTGATTGACCGTATGAGTCCACTGTTACAGAGCAAAACAAATAATGAAGCCATTGATAAACTAACTCTTTCAGTTTCAATTACTAATAAAACCGAGGATCGAAGATTGTACTCTGTTCGCAATACGGTTAGAAAGTCAGATGGAAGAGACCCCATGAATGTTGTTACGTCTTCTAAGTTCAAAAGCTTCAGCTCCTGTTTTAGATTTTGCCTCTCTTGTATAGACATTCCTTTTCCCAATCCTGATTTGCTATCACCAAGAAGAGGAAGAAACAAACAAGGATAAGACTTCTTGCATGTGAAAATGCCATTTTTACTGTAAGATGATGTAGGGAGAGAAAGTACACACACCTTTCACTAGTTCTTCCGGTGAAAATGACAGGGAAGAATTTGGCATATTTGCCAACACCAAACTGTTTCCCTAATTCCTGTATTTTGTTTGAGTCTAGAAGAATCAAAGCCTCCCATAACCGACAAAAGTCCCGTCTAAATCCTTCATCCAATGTTTTACAGTTCCCGTGGTCTAGCAGAACTTTTCAACAAAAAGAAGAAGATTAAACCTTCTATGATTAAGAACCAGTCAGAGGTCAAGAGTAGAATCACAGAACACATAAAATTACCTAGAGAGAAGCCATTCTTGCCTACAGGAGAAACAAGTATATTTCCAGGATGTGGATCGCCATGTATGAATCCATGAACAAATATCATTTCAGCAAACACTTCAACCAACACTTTAGCAACCTATAATAATATGGGAACAAACTATTATACTTCTGGATTGGATTTCTTAAATCAGACATATTGTTGGCAATAAAATGCACTATGCATAAGAAGTCTTTACCAACCTTTGCTGGACTTAGATTAGTGCTCTTGAGGGACTCCACATCATCAACCTGGAATCTAAGGAAGTTCGAGTTGGTTGAAAACATACAAGAAAAATAGCACTTCCAAGAAGCTGCATGAAGATCTATAAGAGTGGATAATATATAAAATACAGTGTTGCTTTACAAAAGAAACTCAAAGAGGTCCCTAGCATGGAAAATGTATCCTAGATGCAAATCAAAAGCAAAAGCTTCCAGTACCATCTCGTCTCTAGCTTTTCTAACAATTTAACTCGTTTGAGATAGCTTTCATCTTCAGTCTCCACGTATCTTTTCATTCAATAACGAGTAAACCAAGATTGCCAAGATGAAGAAAGAAAATGCCAACTCTGTATATCTACAGTTTTCGTTTAGTGGGTAACAGATATAAACCTTGCATATGATTAACTGTGTTGAACGTCATTACCTTGAAACCCTTGCAGAACTGCATTGTCAGGACTTGAGTGGTTGTGAACTCCTGAATATTAAGAAAACGGCATCTAAAACTAATCAAAGACCATGCAATCAACGATACTTTTAAAGTTATGAAAATTCTTCAGTCATACCCAAAACACTGTAGGAACAGTAATCATTTTGTTATGTTTGAAGTTTTTGGCAATTCTCTCTGAATTTTTTGCCTCCTGGATAAAATCTGTGCACAAGAAAAATAATCCAGAAATGAATCATCAGATTCACTATCCACACTACCAAGCAGATCTAAACTTTTCGAGAAATAATGTGATGAATAAAACACAAACACATGGACACGATGCGGTTACTGACCAAGTTCTTGGGAAATTGACTTCACGAATTCATAAACCAGCCAGTCAAATCTGTATTCTGGAAAAATCTGCAAAGTAAATAAAAAGGACTCTAAGAAACTCTAAGAGGCTGCATATAATACACAGTCTATATATAATCAAATATGCAAACACAGTTCATGTAACTGCATCACTGATCTCAACTCACACTTTCCACAAGAACAAATGCTAGGGTCACAATCACCGCAAAACTAATGAAGTAAAAGAACGAAGTCCTTGTAATTTGAGCATGCACAACATTTTCCAACATCTAGCTCTTAAGTACTTCCCAAGGTTTTCGCAAGGCAAAAAAAAAAAAAGTTTTCGCAAGGCAGCATAAACTACTGCAGGACACTGGAATAATAATTATACGCACCAGCAGTTCCTTTCAGCCTTACATGAAAAAGTCTACAGTTTATCATCAAAATTCCATTGCCATCAAATTTCAGAATTCTAGATCAGTCATATGTATATCCTTCATTTCATATTATTTGAACAGCTTGTAAGAAAAGAGAGGCAAAAATATAATGTTACAAGGAATTAGATGCACCTTGACGACTGATTTTGAAAGGAAAGACATGATCATTGTATCTAACTTCATGTTCTGCTTCAATCCAGGGTATTGCACCTATTTCAATCACACCAAAAAGAACCACAAAGATTGAGAACTTGGCGAATAAGATATCATCATCAAGAAGACTGATGTATGCCCCCATTTAAGTCTTAAGAAGCATCATCATAAATAAAGATGAACAGTAGAAAGAGAAAAGAATTATTAATGACCAATCTAACAAGTATCCCAAGTGAATGATGAAACATGATCAAGTGTTACTGAAAAGAACATAACGAAATCAAAACATTTATCATTGCGAGGAGTCAACCTTAACTGCTACTTCCTGATGATTCTTCAATACAGCATGATGTACTTGAGCAATAGATGCAGCCGCAATCGGCTCCTCATCAAAAGATAAAAATCTGACATTTCAACTGAGGGATGTTATAAATGTGCCTTGACGCTCACTTTATATCAGTGTAAACACAGATAGGTTTGGAATAACTCTTACATCTCTGTGAGGTCTTGACCCAAATTGGTTGTGAGAACGTGTTTTACTTCTTGGAAATTACAAGGAACTGCCTTCATTCATAAACAAAGTAGAGATAGAACAAACAATTAGAATCATAATCTGTATTTCTGGTGAAAACAATACATTCATATTCATCAAAAGACGGAAAACCATTTAAGTAAAACACATAGAAACTTAATCATAGTAATAGTATTCACACCTGGTCTTGCAACGAGGAAAGGGCCAAAGAATACTCTTTCGGAACAAGCTTCAACGTAGCCACAAACTGACCAGCTTTCACATAGAAACCTTTATTACTCTCACACAGTTTAAGAATTCGTCTCGCAGACCGCGAATGAACCTACGAAATGATTAAACCGACATACAAATAATCAATGTGTAAGATGTATAAATCACAGGCAGAGCAAGCAATCATATCATAACTCTTAACAATTAAAAAAAGCTAAATTCCACAAATTATAACTTCCATTCCACAATCACGAATAATTTAGATCAGTCTGTAATGGAAATTACAATCAAAGTATATTTGCCTAAAGCTATTGATGACTACAATCCCATGAAACAAACTTAACATTGCAATATTTGATTATTAAGAGTTGAAAAAGTTATCATGAAGTGTAAGAATCAGTATCTACGGAGGCAAATCGGGAAACGCAATAAACTGAAAAAGAAACCTCTGTTAATCTCTGAAGATACTCATCGGAATCCACCGGGAATCCACGCAAATTATACTTGTAATCGGCGACGGTGAGAGTGATCTGCAAGTAGGGAGAACAAAGAGAATGACTGAAATTGGAATGAGAAGAATCGTAAACCAAATAGAGATAAGAAAAACACGAACGGCATAGATAGCTCGAGAAGAACGGACGACGCCTTCCACCGCCGTCGCGATTTTGTTTGGATGATGAACGGAAGGAGAGTCCCGGAAAACAGAGACGGCGGTGGCGCCGCCAGTGACGGCGGTAAGAGCTAGGCCGGTGACTGTGAAAACAAAGATCGGCGACTTGGATCTCGCGGGAAATTTGAACTTGCGGAGAATCTCCATTTTTGTGGGATTCGTCGGGTTTTGGTGTCTCCCGAGAAATCGGAGGAGAAGACGAAAGCTTGTAAGTTCTGTGATTACTGTCAAATCGGGTCGGATCAATCCGACAAATAGAATGGGCCAAGAAGGTAGGCCCATTATGGGTTTACTGTACGAGTACACTATTTGTACACACTTTGCATCAATCCAGCAAATCGAAAAGCGCTGATCCTCGGGAGGAGATATCAGAGGGGGAGGGGAGTTATCGATCTGCCTTCGGTGACGTTGTAATCATTGGGTTGGTTTGCGATTCTCTAACTTTCTGCTTCCACTTTTTCATGGAGTAAAGTATCTTCCGGGAAAATTTTTTTTCCGTTGAAGATTTTGTCGTTCTTTGCTTTCCAAATAAACCATAGGATCCAAAGATATACATCTTTTTGAGGATCTGTCATGTCTATCTCTTTTGTTTTCCAAAAGAGAAAACTCATATTTTAATAAATAAAGGTACTCGTGAAAAAACCCGGAAGAGACGAAAAGTCTGATAACGTCCAGACTTGTAAGGCCAGTGAGCATAAAAACAGTAGATGGTTTATGGATAGTTTTAATACTCAAAACACTTTTTACTTTTCTTTTAATCCTTGTAATTTTGTACTTCTTGGAAATAGTTTTAATAATTTTTTTTCTACTTTTATTTTAATCCATATAATTAAATAGTTCAATTATATAATTATCAATATAATTATATCCTATAAACTGATTAAACATAAAATAAAATTATTAATATAAAATAAATATTATACAGTTTTTAAAATTAATTTCACATAAAATAACATTACATTGAGAAGCTTAAACACAAATTTAAAATCACACAACAATAACAAATATTTTACATGAAAATAAAATTACATAAAAAAATAAATATTACACAAATTAGAATTTATACTATAATATTAATAATCGGGTAAATTTAATCTTGAACCTCCAAAATCACCAAAACATTGTCCATAAATATTTGGTGCATTTTGAGGTTGTTGTCGTTCTTGAGTTCTCTTTTGTATAATTTTTGTTTGTTCAGCTCGAATGAACTCACGTGTATTAGTATCATCGATAGAATTCAAATCTTATAAGTAATCTTATAAATCCTTATAAGTAAATTTATAAACCCTTATAAGTAATCTTAGAAACCCTTATAAGCTTATCTAGCATTCTTCTCTAGTATGAGATATATGTGATAAGATATTAGCATGATTTTAATCTAAGATCTGCTGTAATATTTCATGTAATATTTTGTTTAATGTATGTTGTATATATATTTATGAAAGTTTTATCATTATTATCAATTATTATTTATATTGAGGACTGTAATGCAATTTATAAATTCTATTAAAGGGTAGATTTAAGGTTTTACCATGAGAGCAAAATACCTTCAAATCCTTATTTTGAGGTTTTACCACTCTTAAAATGAGGTTTTGGATTGGAGATGCTCTAAGACGTATTTCCTACTCATATATAGGAACAAATCCAACCAAAATTTTGACATTGTCGTAGATCTTCCTATTATGAAAGTTTAAAATGGATTTTCCCCCAATTCAAAAATTCAAAACATATTTACCACTAACTGTTGGTTTGATGGTTTATGAACTTAACCTAATACAAAACTATTTTAATTGATACAAGACCAAATTAAAAATCCAACCAAACTGAAATCTGATCCATATACCCGATCTGATCCGTTTTCTTTCTTTTTCTTCTCGACCCCTTCCGATCTTGGGTCTGAGAATCCTCCTAGCTGAGATGGTTATTTCGTTGTTTAAAGCTCTCGTTTTTTCTTGTCAATTTAGTTGAAATCGAGATGGGTTTATCTAATTGTGTCTTGGCATCTTTAATTTGATGTAGTTCCCATTGCTCGGGCTTCTTGAGAAGCTAATCGATGAGTCCTCAACTGATGATGGATCGAGCTTACTGCTTTCAATTGTCATCGTACTTACTACTTTCAATGTTGTTAGCCGGATGATCTCTAATATTTTTTCAAAACTCAATTGGTAATTTTTATTAGGGAGAAAAATTGTCATCGAATATAGAAAAAGAAAGAAGAGACCAGAAATATTTAACCTAATGAAAATATTCTTCTCATTTTCTCTCTCACTCTGATTCATCTTTAATTCAGTATCTTCGAGATAACTTTTTTCCCTAATAGTCATTTTCTAGCCTGAGATTAGCCAATTTTCAGGTTCACATAGAACTCCTAGATCAAACTTTTACTCTAATTATTTTCTTTCTTAGATTTTGATTCATGGTGTTGTATGTGATGAAAATGCGGAAGGACTATCGAGTGAATATTAACAGCAGTGAGTGCATATATGCTCTCCAACACCTTCATTAGATTTTCATGATTAAGATGATGTAAATGCTAATTCATATGCAATCTAATCATATTCTCATTATAGAATAAGATGAATGTTTTTAGTTTTTTTTCTGGGATTATGAAAGCCTGAAATGCATTAAAAAAATCAAATATAAAAGAAATAAAAATGAAAGAAAAACATACCAATTGGGTTGCCTCCCATCAAGCGTTTTTGTTTAGAGTCTTTTAGCTAGACTCTTTGTGGGATAAAGATCGAGAAGAAGAAGAATGATCTCTTGGAATAAGAGTCCTTGGAATCCTCTTGAGCTTGAACTTTGGATCTCCATCATCTTGAATCACAATCTCTTTTCCTCTCTTAAAGATTTTTGCATCCTTGAGGACATGTTTTGTCTTCTCCACAATTCCTTCAAGGTTTTCTTCCTTCTTCTTGCTGATGTCTGGTGGTATCATTATCTTGATCTTTGCAAACTACTTTGATGCAAGTGCTTTTAGTTCTTTCTTGTCTTCCAAAACTTTCTCCTTGAGCTTGTCCTTGCGGATTGGAGCTTGATCCGGTGTAGTTCTGTAGAACTTTTTCCTGTCCACATTTAAGAAAACTAAACAACGATTTGCATGGTCAATGATAGCACCTACAGTTGCTAAGAATGGGCGACCAAATATCAAAGGTCTTTCTTTTTTCTGGTCCATCTCTAAGACTTGGAAATCAGCTGGAATGATCTTATCTCCAATGACCAATGGCAGGTTCTGAATCATTCCTCCTGTTCTCTTTTGAGATGAATCGCCAAAGACTATCCTTACGGGAGATGGGACAAGTGTTCTTATACAACGTCTCTCAGCAACATATTTTGACATAATGTTCACATTAGCATCGGAGTCACACAAACAATCTGAAAATTCAATTCCAGAAATAGAGCAAGTGAAAGAAAAACGCCCTGGATCCTTAGACTTTTTGAGTCTTTGGACAGGTAAACGCTTTGTTACCTTAACCAAAATGTTCTGACCTACTTCATACTCGGTTTTTGAATCTTTCATGAGGGTTTCGTGGCTTGACTTCTCCTTAGAGTCTGCGCCTGGTTCTTCTTCAGGGACTGCTGTCATAGCATTGCAAAACTTCTTTGGATTATCCTCCACTCTTCCTGGAAAAACTTCTGGCTGCCTTCTCATAGAATCTGTAGTCTGACCTATGTGTAGTTCCAACTTCTTGACATGAGTTGCAAGAGATTCAAACTTCTCATTCAAGTCATTGTACATACAATCGATCCTTACTCCAATCTCTCTAAATGATTTCTCATTGCTCTGAGATGTCTGCATCACGTTTTGTTCAAGCGACTTCACTTGATTGCTCAGCTGAGAGAGGGTTGCTTCTAATGAGCTGGTCTGCGGTTGTTGAGGACTGAAATGTGGTATTGATGGAAATTTCCTCCTCTATAGTTCCCGTTTTGGAACTTGTTTGGAAATTTCCTCTGCTGCTGCGGATAGGGCTGGTTCTGGGGGTTCTCAGCTCCTTGACTTCGGTACGAAAGATTGTTGAAGTTGGCATTCCTGAAATTATGGTTGAAAGCCAGATTGAATCGGTTCTGATATGTCCCTTGTGCTCTAACAAAATTCACTTCCTCTTCTTGAATTTATGCCATCATCTTCATATCCTCCATCTTCTTCATTACCTACAGCAGTATCACAAGCATGTATATTCTTATTTTGAGATTTAAGAAGTTGACTTACCATGCTTTTTAGCTCAACAATCTCCCTTGACTCATGACTAATGATAGTCTTCTTTGATTTGTCATACTCAGGATTGTTTTTGCTATTAGCTATATAGCTAGATGTTTGATGAATGCTCTCCCTTGTGTCATAGTATTTGAATCGAAATCTCCATTGCTGGCAGTGTCAAGAGAAAATTGATACTTCTGCTGAAGTCCTCTGTAGAAGGTGCTTAGTAGGTTTGCTCCAGAGAAACCATGATGAGGGCAGTATCTCTTATACTCCTTGAATCGTTCCCATGCCTCGTAGAATGATTCGACAGGGCCTTGTTGGAAACTTTGGATCTTGTTTCTCAGCTGGTTTGATGTTGACTTGGTGTAAAAGTGGTTCAGAAAGGCTGATTTGCATTCTTCCCATGAGGTAATAGAGCCAGATGGCATAGACTTTAACCACCTAAATGCTTTATCACTTAAAGAGAAGGGGAAAAGCTTACACTTCACATAATCTGTAGAACCTGGAGTGGTTCTCACCATGCCACAGATTTCTTAAAAAATATCTGTGTGATGTATAGGATGCTCAGTCGAGGTTCCATGGAAATGATTTTGCTTCATCAGGGAGACAATCTGAGGTTTTATCTCGAAATCACTCCTTGCTGGCACATGTACTTGAATAGCTGATCTATTTTGAAAGTGTTGGTGATGTGCATCAAAATTGGCAATAATAAGTCTATTGCGACACTGTCTTCTCGCAGGATTGACAAGTTGTATGGGTCGATTTCCTCCTCTTTCATTAGGTGGAACAATGTTTTCATTATCCCTTTGCTTTTCAGGATCGGCCTGGTCTTGTCTCCTTTGGTTATCAGCAGCACTTCTAGGGAGTTGATTTCCCTCTCCATCTAGTTGTGGCTGGCCATCTGCTTCATGAGCAGCCTCTCAGTCATCATGAATAGAATCGCGATCATCATCATCTCCGTTGTGACCATCTTGATCACGATTTAAAGGATTTTCCCGATGGGCGTTTGGATCGGCCATCTTGAGCGTTATTAGTCTGAGTCTCTG